TGTTATTTATTTAATTTTACAATCTTTTTTCAATATAAAATTGATAAGTTTTAATTAAAATGAATTTTATTTTACAAACTATTTTTAATAAAAAATCCATCAATTTAATATAAAAATACTATTATATTTAATATTACAAACTAATTTTTTTTTTTTAAACCATTAATTTATTTTTTAATTACTTGCTATTTTTTTTAAAAAAATAAAAATTTAACTAAAAATTAATTTTATAATATTATTACTTTCTATTTTAAATAAAATTTATAAAATAATTTATAACTTTTATTTTTTTAGTATTACTCCCTATATTTAATAAATAATCGATAATTTAAAAATAAAAATATATTTTTTTAAATATTACTCCCTATTATAAATAAAATAATAATTAATAACTAAAACATATATATAATTAATATTACTAATAGTTTAGCCTATATATTAAAAGATTTATAAATTTAAATAAAAATGCTATTTTTTTTATTTTACATTCTATTTTATATAATAAATTTATAAATTTTTTTATTAAATAAAAGTTTTTTTATTTATTTACTTGCTTATTTTTAATAATATTTATTATTAAAGTAAATAAATACTATTATACTTTCTATTTTTTGCTTTATTTTATATTTTCTTTATATTTTTACACACTTTTTTTTATTTTTTATTATTTATTTTAAATTAAAGCTATTTTTACATTGTGAACCTTTATAATTTTTTTAAATAATTGTATTTTTATTATTTAATTTTAAATACTCTCTATAAAATTTATTTTAAATAAATAATTATATATTATATTTACCTATTTATAAATTAATATATATAATTGTTTAAATTATGTTAAATTATCAAATTAATTTTACACACTAATTTTTTTATTTTTCATATGAATATTTAATAATGATTTTTATTATACAAGCTTTTTTTAAATTAATATTTTTTTTATTATTTTTTATACTAACTATAAAAGATTAATTTGTTTTTATTTTAACTATTTATTTACACACTAATTTTATAAATATATTTTTATAGTTTTTAATTATATTTACAATCTTTATATTTTATAAATTTCTAATTTTAAAAATTTTTTACATCCTTTTTTTTAAAATAATATTAAATATTAAATTTTTAAAATATATAAATTACTCCCTTTATTTTTTTAATAGAATTCCGATTTTTATATTTACATACTATTGTATTAATTTTATTAATTTATATATAAATAAATTATTACTTGCTTTTTTTTATTATATATATATATATATATTTATATTTTAAATTATTTTTTTATTACACACTATAAATTAAAATATGAGAGTATATAATGGCAATCATTTACATCCTTTATTTAATAATAAAATTATATATATATAATAAAAGTATGATAATACCTAAAATAATATTTGTAAATAGCAAATATAAAATAAATATGATTTTACACACTTTTTTATTTATTTAAAAAAATAATTCATTTATATAATTTTTTGTTATTGAATTTTTTAAAAAAGTCATTTAAAATTGTGTAAATTATTACTCATATATTTATATTATAAAAATACTTTGCTTTAAACCTAATATAACATTGATAAAGTTATAATAAGTATCAACTAAATGTAAATCTAAAAAAAATAATATTAAAGACAAACACTATTGTTTTCTACCTTTGACATTTTATAAATTAATTTATATTTTTAATTTTGATATAAATAATTATAAAAATCTTATTTAAAAAATTATATAAATAATATATTTTATAGAAAAATAATTTTAATATATTTCCTAATATGAATTATAATATTTTTATTTTATAGAAAAGATAAAATTATTTTAATTTTAAGATAAATTTAAATATATTTTTTAAAAAATACCAGTCAAAATATGATTATTAAATAACATGCAAATTTATAATTATTTTTTAAATAATTTGAAAAAAAAAATCGAGATTAATATAAATTTCAATATATTTGTTTATAAAACACATTTAATACATATTAAAAAGAGAAAAAAATAGAAATTATTATTAATAAAAATAATATTATTTTAATAATAATATAAATTAAAATATTATTATTTAATATAACTCAATTAATATTTTTTAATTATTTGACTAAATGTTCTTAAAAATATATGTTATGTTTTAATAAGAAATTTAAAATATATAATTTTTTTATTAAAATATAATTTTATAATATAAATATAAATTTTTAAATATAATATAATTTAAATTTTTTTTTTAATAATATTTTTTTAAATATATATTTTAATTTATAAAACAAAAAAGTAATAATATTTTTGTAAAATCCTTTTAATATTAAACATATAAAAGAATTTAAAAATATCAAATTTTGTTTATATAATAATTAAAAAAATTACGGTAATTTTTTTTAAATATATTTTATTTTAAAATCAATATAAAAATTTTAATTTTTCATAAATAATGTCAACCTTAAAAATATTAATTTAATCAAATCAATCTTTGTTTTCTAAATCTAAAAATTTAATAACTACTCCATAAGACTAAGCCCGGAATATTTCTATTCTCTGATTCGTCTCTATTAATATAAAATAAATTGTACTATATAAATCTTAATTTATTATGTATTATCGAAATAAGTATAAAATAACATTATTACTTATATAATTGTGAATATTTGGTTTATTCACATAATGTGTTTATTTTAATAGTTCCTATATTTAAAAATTAATAGTAATTGAAAATACAAATCAATATAGTCTATTTATTTTTAGTTTTATATTTGCATCATTAATAAGTGGTTGATTATTTATTATATAAAAGTTTCCTCAAAAAATAATAATAATAATAATAATTTTCCTTTTTGGATATTTTTGATTAACTCTTCTAACAAAAATAACATATTTTTAAGTTTGATGCAGATATATGTGTTTATTGAGTTTAAATTTGATAAGTCAACTATATGGTTAGTTAGTTTATCAGTTATATTGTCTAGAAAGCTTTTCTCTTTCCAGAATTATTAATCTAAATATTAGGTATATTTTTTATTGAGGAAAGTAGCAGATATTAAATTATTAATATATTAAGAAGATTAAAAATAATTTTAGTAAGTTGTTTCTTTTGACTAATTTCGACAAAAAAAACTGAGGTGATAATTTTAATTTTTTTTTTTTTTTTTTTTTAAATCTACAATACTACAAATAAATAAATTAATTTTTTATTGTTTAAATATTTCTTTTGCAAAATACCAAAATTTAACACTCTTTCTAACCGAAGAGACAGTAATTTTCATCTCAGAAAATGATTATTATCAAAAATAAGCATGAATTATTATAAGAGAAGGGAATTTTTTTTATAATAAGTATGAAAAAAATGATTGATTTCTAAGAATAATGGAGATAATATGTTTTTAGTTTGATTTTTCTTTGTGTTTTAATCAGTTTTTAGGTCAGGTTTCAGTAAAATACTTAAGGGCAGCTTTGGCAAAAAAAAAAGTTTAGAAAGGACTGTATAAAATAAAAATAGGTAAATATAAATTTTGAAAAGAAAATATGTTAAATAAATAATTCAAAACTTTAAATAAATATAAAGATATTAATTTTATTAAAATAAAAAAGAAAATGATTAATATACTAGTAAATTAAATTTTTCATTATAGGAAAAAGAAAAATAAAACTCATTTTATAAAAAATTAAATTTCGTATTTTTTATTGCTAAAATATAAAAAATAAGGATTTGAGAATTATGATAAAGTACTATCTTATTATATAAAATTATCTTCTAAATATTTTAATAGAAAGTTCTTAACTTTTTAAGTACAAATATGATTAAATTCATAAAATTAAATGGGAAAACTATAAAGTAATTAACTTAAAGAGTATTAATAATAATAATTAGCTTTTAGGGAAACTACAAAATAGAATAAATAGAAAAATAGTTAATTTTTATATATTTTTAAGAATAAAACTAACATATAAAAAATTAAATTTAATAAAATTATTAAAAATAAGGATGGTGTAAAAATATAATATAAATATTATATTAAAATTTTCGAAATAGAATGAAGTTAAAAATATTATAAATTTATATATAAAAATAAAGTAAAATATATAAATGCTTTTTAAAATTAATTTTTTTAATTTTGGTTTTGTCATTTAAATTTATTTTTTGTTTAAATATAATTTTTTTTGTTAAGATTTATTTATAATATTCATATTTTCTTAATTAAAAAATTATTATTATTTTTAATTTTTTTTTAATAATGATAAAAAAATATAATATATAAATTAATATTATTTTTTATCAGTAAAAAAAAATTTTTTTTTTTTTTTTTTAAAGCTTCTCTATTTATAAATTAAAATAATACATATGCTTAAAATTTATTATATAAGATTTAAATTTTAAAAAAAACATTAATTTTTATCAAATTTAAGATTTATATTAAATATTGATTATTTTTAGTAAAAAAATATATTATAAGTTATTATTATAAATAAATCTTTTATTTTGACTATATTAATGTTAACTTTATTTATTTTAAGATTAAGATATATAAAAAATATAAAATAATTATAAAAGCTACTTTTAACTTAAAATAAAAATTAAAAATGTTATTATTAAATTTAAATTTAAAATATTATTAATTACTTTTTTTATAATTTTAAAACAAGTATATCTCTTTTATTAAAAAAAAAAAAATATAATCATTATAATATATTTATATGATATAAATTAAATTTTAAGTAATTTTTTTTAATTTTTTATTTTAATTTTATATTTCAATAAATTATTATATATGTTTCTTTTTGTATTCTCTCTTTATTTTTCATCTTCATATATTTTTAAAATATTATTTTAGTTAAAATAATATTCATAAAATTACTTTTTGCTTTCAATCTGAATTATGTTTATAAATTAAATTAAAATATAAAATTTCTGTTTATTTTAAACCTTAATAAAATTATTATTAAAATAAAATAAACTATAATATATTAATAAGCTTTAAATTAAAAAAAAAATATTATAATAATAAATAAAAATAATAATAGTTTTTTATATATTTATATTTAAACATGTTATTTTCAATTTATTTTTTTATTTAAAATAGTATATAAGCAATTATTATAAATTACATATTCCTTTTTAAAAATATTTTTTCAAAATTTTTAAGAAAAATATTAATTTACACACTAATTTCATTTATATATATATTTTATATTATGTTATCTAAAAAAAATACTTCCTGTTTATAAATTAAATAAATTAAAATTAATATAAAATTAAAATTAAAATAATAATTAAATATATAAAATTAAAATAAAATTTAAAATTATGTTAGAAGTAAAATACTTCCTGTTTTTAATAAAAGTAAAATTAAAAATTAAAAATATATTACATTCTATTTTTATTTATTAAAACTCAAAATAAAGAGTAACTTTCTAATTTTGATTTAAAGATATATATTTATATAAAAATAGTAAATAATAATACAATCTTTTTATTTCAAAATAAATAATTATGATTAACTAAAATTATATCAATACATCCTAAAACATATATTAATAAGTTAATAATAATAAATTTTATTAATAGTAATTTCTTACATCCTTATTTTAATCATTAAATATTTAAAAATTGAGATAATTATATTATACGCACTAAATGTAATTAAAAAGCTTAAAATCAATATATAATATTATTATTTTTTACAATCTGTAAATATAAAAAAAATATAAAACTTTGATAATTTAATTTACTTTTGAAATCTAAAAATATATTTATCGAATTTAACATAAATAATTTAAAATTACATTTTAGATCTATAAGAATAATGAATATACAAATATATTAAATATTATTATTAACATTCTATTTTAGTTATTATTATTTTTTTATTCTAAAATTTTAATATTATTTTACATCCTTTTTTTATATAAAATGTTATTTAATTTATTT